TGAGGCGAATAACTGTATCAAACATGTAATGATGAAATGCATGCTGATATGTTTTTTCATTCCCACTTAGTGGATTGAGTGCTGAATTACTAAATCTTACTAAATATCATTATCCAGGTGCATCTTACAGCATATATGATTTTTACATTATGTACAAGTACAATGACCAATTGTACAATTAGTCAGCGACAATAAGATGATATAATTTTATTCCATTAATAAGACACTAGCTGGAAGAGCAACAGGTGCAAACAACGAAAGAATAAAAATGAAAGCTATGCAGACATTTTGGCTACAGTGCAATAGAGTAAACACATCTGTATTTCCTTTAGTGTTTATAATTAACATTTAAACTGTACTAAAAAACTATATTACCATATTAAAAATTAAAAATCTTCTGGATAAGGTTTAAAACTTAGCAAAGAAAACACAAATTGAGCTGCAGCATTCCAGGCGAGTAGAGTGAATTAGTGTTGGCAGGAAGGGTAGCCAAGAGAGTAGGTGGCAAAGTGATTCCTGTGAAGAAATGACAAGAATATGGCAGAGAAGAAAAGGTGTTTATATTAGGAGAGGGAGAGGTCAAGCGACACACCAAGGGTCTTGGCAGAAGAGGAGGGGGTGGTTGGTAGAGTCAGAAAGAAATTAAATAGGGTGAAAAGAGGAGGAAGAAAGGATGAAGAAAGTCAGAATATAGAGGTTGAATTTAAGATTCATGGAGTGCATCTAGGAGAAGATGACCATGAGAAAATCAGATACAGAAGGTGATATGAAAATCAGTGAGAGAAAGAGAGGAGAAATTGGGAAAGATGGCATGGCAGAAAGCAGCACAGGACCCAAAACAGAGCCTTGGGGCACAGTACTGCACAGTTAAGCCAGCTTTACCAGATGTGGTGTGTGATCAGTGCAATAGGAGGGGAATTGGGTGTGAGAAGTGCCAGACATTTCCAGGTCATTGTTGACAGGAGAATAAAGTATCCATCAGTGTAAGAGGAAGCAGAGAGATAAATTCAGCAAAGAAGAAGGCAGCACAAGCTGAGTGAAGAGAATTGGTAATGAAGAGGAGAGCAGTTTCTGTCGGGCATGATGAGTGGAAGCTGGACTGTAGTAGGTCAAGCAGCAGGTCTGTTGTGTGGCCCCAGGCTTTATGCTAGAACAGCAGACTTGCAGCTGGGGTTGTTCTGAGGACAGTGGTATGTATGGTATGTGTAACCTGCCTTCACACCGTTAAAATTACAATTATTTTTATCCATCTTCATCTTGCCCTTTTCACCTTTTCCCTCTTTTATGACCCTGTGTATTTGCAGACTTTCAATTTTCTGAAGATGTTTGTTCAGGTTTTATAAAATACATGTGGAAAACCGCTATCTGATACCTTGTTTGCCAAGTAGAAAATCTTAATTCTTCAGGGTATTACCCACCATCAGCCTGAATTTAACTTGGACACTATGTCTGATGCGGTCATTGTCTTGACCTCCTTGTTCTTCAAACCTTGCTCATTTCCTTTTGTTTTTCCAAAAAAAAAACCTTTATCTGCGTTTCCATTTTTGATTGAAAAATAATCTCGCTAGGGTTTTCCTGATTGCTCTGTCAGTAGGAGAAGCACCAGCGCTGGGTATTTGTGTTTCCCTCCTCCTTCCTGCTGGGACCTGTAGGAGCCCGGTAGAACTGCTTCCAAAGTAATCCTGTCCTGCGGTGTGTCCGCCTTTTTCAGGGCAGTTCAGGAATATGTCTGGGCACTCCAGGCACGAACCCAGTGAGGCCAAACGCTGGTGTGCTCAAAATACAACATTACTCATCTGACATGAATCAAATATGGGATTAGACCCTTTAACAAGGATATAGAGGTAGCCAGCATCATTGCTGTCCAATGTTCTCGTGTGCATGTTTATAGGGACTAATTTCTGTGGTATAAGGACAAATTAAATTCACTTTAGTTTAGATTATCCTCCTACTGGGTTTCATTAAATCGTGCAAACAAATCATGGAAAGCATTTCTCTTAACTGGTGATGGCATACATACCTCACCTACAGGACATTCTTTTTCTTTGCGGTTTTAAAGAAAATATTTTTTCTGGGGGGGGGTTGTTTTTGTTTCTGAAACGTGCCATTTGGTGCGAGTGTTAGTCACCCTACTGATGCATTTAAAAACATCGCTGGAGTTGCGCAACAAATGTCCGGGAAAAGATTGTTCCTTTTGTGTGGAGGGGGTGGGGGGGGGTCTTTGAGGTTAAAGCTTCCATCACAGAGAGTGCTTTCAAGCTGCTGTAATCTGTGGATGTGGAGCTTGGGACTGTTTGAGGTCACCTGAGGCTGCTTGCATTCTCATGTGAGGAAGTGTTGGCAGTCAACATGCTATAGCCTAGGAACAAGTAAACCTAAAACCATTTGGAACTTTGGAAATTTGGAATACACTCAGTATTACTTAATATGTGCTTTAAGATTTCCCGTTTAAGTGGTTTGCTTGAACATTTCGATTTCAATCCAATTTCAGTTCAGGCTTTATTTTCCTCTGGGATAGTCATAGGTGTTTTCAAATGCCTTATCAAATCTGAATGTTGGGTTTAACTTACAGAATGTTGCTTATATGTAAATAGACTGCATTAAAATGCTGTTTTTTGAGCAGCACATTGACATGACTTTTAGCACTACTAGCTCTGATTGATTCTGGACAGGGCTACTTTCTGTGTAGAGTTTACCTGTTATGTCTGTTTATATGGACTTAACACTCATAGTGCTGAAGTTCCCTCCTACCTTCCCAAGTCATGCTAAAGCGTAATTGGTATTTCTGATCTGTCCCTGCATACTTGTGTGTGCCCTGCAATGTACTGGCATATATCCATGTTTTGCTTAGATCTGCTCATTATTAAATCATTTGGTAGGATTAATTACTTAAACTCAGATGTTTCAGTAAATTTGTGATCATGGAACAGCTTTGTGTATTTTATTAGTGTTCTTTAGACTCTTGTACTCTTGTTACCGAACATGTCTTTTTGGCAGGGATGGTGATACACAATACACAAGTTTCAGAACAAATAGTGTATTCAGGGTACTTAACTCTTTGTCTAACAGACTGGGCATCATGACGCCTTACGCGTGCTGTAGGGTCACAATGGAACTTCATTACTGTGTCTTCAGGGGCAACAATATTGTATAGATGAAACTGAAGGTTTAGTCTGAGCATGTGTTTGTGAGGAAGCTCATGAAGAAATGACTTGATGAATTTGTGGCATAGTGATGTTTTATACCTTTTGCCTCAGCTACAGTATGTGGCAGTTTACTCTTTTCTTTCTAAGCCTTCACTGCTTTTCATTCTACATAAAGACTGTTATACGGTTCATGCTGCCAGGTGAGTCTGTTGTCAAACTAGTATTTGGCAGTGGGCTTGGAATATCTGACAACGTTTAGCTTCCATCTCTGTCTGGTTAACTAACTGAATGTGTTTATTATGATACTTTCATACAGCCTAATGTAGAGTAATGTATATCTTCCTTAATTACTTCATCAGGACACAGTAGACCCATGTTGTTTCAACTACTATTATATCCTGCATTTTCATCCCAGATTTTCTTCTGATTTACAGCACACAGGTGACGCAGTTCAGGAGATAATGGGCAGATGATTCAGGCTTTTAAACATAAAAATTTAGACATGACAGTTCAACTCCCGTTGCACAGCATTTGAAGCTATTTTGAGCTGTAGAATCTATATGTACAGGAGCCATTATTTCAATCAACTCAAATCCTTTCACACTGGGAGTTTAATTTCCCCAAAAAGATGCTGTTTATAAGAGTCACGTTAAAACCATGTTTTTCTCACATTTGGGGTACATTATGGGTATATATACAGTGTTTCAGAAACTTTTTCAACAACATTTTTCAATTTTTGTTGAAAGCAGCTGAATGATGCTCTAAGACTATATTGTAGTGTATGAAAATGAGTGAACAAGTGAACTGATTTTTTCCAGTCGCCCTAGTCATAGAAAACATTTTTCCCAGCAGTTGAAAATAATCTTTTTTTGTTATGCTTCGCTGGTTTGGCTCATTTTAGATGTGTTTTCCTTTTGAAATTCTCAGCCCTCACTACTTCTCAGTCTTTGCTACAGTATTTAACGTGAAACATTTGGCATTTGTTTTCCGACCCCGTCTAATCCCTTGTAAACAAGTTTATGTTTGAAGACAATTAAAATGTTATGGAGAAGAACAAATTCCATTTGTTGTGAGTTGAATGTAGAAGTACATTTTGAAGGATCCTGACGCTACTTCATATAATCTGGAATTCCCCCAGGAGGTAACAAATTCCAAGGAAATTCCATTGTCATTGAAACATATTTAGTGGAATTAGATTTGGAAGGCTTGTGACTTCTTTACTGATTTGATTATAACAAAGTTGTTTTAATCATAATTTTATTTTCTAATGTTTTTAGTTTATTCTATCAGTTGCAGATATGAAAAATGTTAAAAATAGGCTCTTCTGCATTAACTTATAGGGATGCATTTTTCATTGTGGCAAAATTTATTCTATAACATTTACAAAATACCATGACGTTAAGGATGTGCTGTTATTAATGATTTTTGACTGATTTAGTTATTAATAATAATTGTGCTGGCTGTGGCTCTTTTAGAGCTATGTAATTGAGCCTGCCAGTGGGATAAAGACATGCACTGATGTTTCTGTACTTATGAGCTAGGTATTTCACTTGGATTGCTTCAGGATGTTTAATATAAATTATTCAAGATGATGTGCAGTTGGATTTGGGAAGAACATGGGTGCAAGTGTGCATGGACTAGGAAAGATCGTCATTGGGGAGGGTGGTGAAGTTAAGGTAATTCATGAAGTCTTAAAATCTGTGGTGTGTCTCAGTGGAATTTGTGGATTTCCTGCTGCTGCTGTGTCCTGAGCAACATTACTTCAAGGGTTTTCTGTGAAACAGGGACTAAAAAGAACAATAACAACTTGAACAGAAAGAAAGAACCACAAGTTTTCTTTCTCTTCCCACACAGGGCGAATCCTGGATCTGAAGACTGGTACTGTGAAGAAGGAAGGTCAGCAGTCCTCCATGAGGATGTGCATGGGATCCAGAAGGTCTTTTATTTGCAGAATGAGGTATAAATACGAGTGCGCGCATACTGTACATGCTCAAGGGCTACTGCTTTATACATGCATCTCCATACTGCTGATGTACTCTATATAGTGAGACATGGGAAGTGGAAATTCCCTCTTTTCTATTTAGGAGGCACAAGTAATACAGGGTATGGCTTTCCTCCCAGTTGTTAAATGGAAAGGCCGAGTGTTAAGAAACATAATTCGCAGAGCTCACCTTTAGCAGCTAGAATTTAACTGTTAAGAAAACTATTTTTATTCTATTTTAGTCTATTGATTAGACCGAAAACCTGTCTTAAAAACACAAATACACAAAAGGTGAAGACGTTTGGATGGAAACATCACTTCTTGATTTGAAAGCAGCTCATTCCTCCTCTGGGGTAACCAGGCTGAACTGCTCTATAACAGTTCTTTACCTGTATGAGCTGGCTGTTCACATTTGTCACAATTTCAGCTGATTGCTTTGAACGTGGTTAGAATACAAAAAGAATCCCACTTCTAAAACCCCAGTAGTGTTTTTTTCACTTCTTACACTGTTGATGCTGGATCTCCAGAGTAGCTTAACCAGTTGTCCAAGCATAGGCTGAGCCCTATGACCACAGTCTCAGGCCTGGGCCATGGCACTAGCCGACTCGTGACCAGGATTCCCCAATGGCACACTGACTGAGGTCCGCTGAGGGTAGGGTGGTAATCGTGGACCAAAGCTCTCTTGGCTCTCTGTGGCAGAGTGCCCCCTGCGGCCTTAGTGGCACACGGAGGCTTGAGATGCTATCGGTGAGCAACGTGCCTCTCCTCCAATCAGAGCTGAAGCTGCAGCATGGGACCATGAGGCCTGTGACGTGTAAAAGGCAAGTGAGTTGAAGGTGGGTCGGTCGGAGGAGTCTGCCTGCACTTCCTCATTCGCCCCTTTTGTGCGGTTGTGGGGTGACAAAACACATTTGGCACTTTCAAATTTAAAAACAAAATATTAGGTTAAGAGGTTTGTTCAATGTTTTTAATGAGTTTTGAATGAACTGATTTAGAGAATAGAGGTTTAATAGAGAATAATGTAATATAGTTTCTCATATATTTAACAATGAAAGCGGAGCAGAGCGGTGGCTCTGTGGTTAAGGATCTGTGCCTGTGACTGGAAGGTTGCCGGTTTAAATCCCGTAGCTGGCAGAATAATCCTACTCCGTTGGGCCCCTGAGCAAGGCCCTTAACCCCATGGTACTAACCCCCAGGGGCGCTGTACAATGGCTGACCCTGCGCTCTGACCCCAAAGCTTCTCTCCCTGTCTGTGTGACTGTGTCTCATGGAGAGCAAGCTGGGGTATGTGAAAAGATGAATTCCTAAGAAATTGTATAGGGCTAATAAAGCAACATTATCATTATCATTGAAAGGTGATAGTTATGTTATCAATGAATCAAATTGTTTGTCAATTGAAAATATTTTTCTACATCCGTTCAACAGCCCTACTAAGCAATGAAGATTGTAGTTTGTCCCAGAATCTGAACTCTTTAAGTATTCCATGTGACATTATTTTAAATGAAATAAATATGTAAAATGTGACTGATGCAGCAAAGCTGTCACCTGCTTGCTGTCCCATAAGTGGAGTGCTAAAATACACATGACTGTAAACATCTACATGGAAAGTATGTTTTTACAGGATCTAATGTTCTTATTATAGTTCTGAATGTACAACTGTGTAGATGGGGAGAATTATCTGGGTATTAAGATTTTAGCTGGATGTTTAAAACTTTTATCTTTTAAAGTTTTTAAGCCCTATAGATGCTTCTGGTAAAATTGGTTTAGAAAAATACAAAATGATAACGAAATGTGTTTAAGCCTCTTCTATAGAATTTACCTGGAAGATGATATTGCTTTCATGAGAGATTTCAGAGTTTTTCTTTAAACACAGGGAGTGCCCCATGATTCCAAGCAGTAAGTCCGCAGATACATCATTTCCTTGTAATTTGGGAAGGAAATCCAAATGGAGCACAGCAACTGGAGTAGTCTGAGAGCATCAGGGGAGAAGCTAATTCCAGAACAAACTCGCTAACAAAGCCTTTTTGGATAATTATTGTGTCTCTTATCCCTGCAGGCTCAGGGCAGTCCCACGATTTCAGAAATGCAGTACCAGCAATAAAAACATTCTTTTTGTTTGTTTTCCCCCTTTCACTATAGGTGCGGCAGTGCTCCGTTAGACCACATATCATTAAACCGGCTGTCTAACATGAGGAAGAGATATAGGTAAGACTCATAGAAATCATTCTGTTGTTGTCTGGCAGCTATACAAATGCAAACTGTTACAAAACTACTTTTGTTAAAATCTGAACAACATCACAGTGGGCAGTAAGCTAAGTCCAAGTGTGTTCTGTTTGCAAGGAAAGAGGAATTAGCCTGAAATCCTCACCTTTATACCAGTCTGTTCTAGCTGTCATCCCATTCTTACACAATTCAACCTTTTCGGTTAGTCACTGGACTGAAATCAGGCCTTTTAAACAGAAAACAGATTTGTTTGTGTTTTTGTTTGAATTACTGACATTATAAGGCATTTGTTTGAGTTTGGGGAGACTGCCAGTCAGGAAGTTTTGTATTTTTCCTCTTATGAGGTTTGTCTAATTGGATAATAAAATGTTTTATCTGTTTTATTTGTAGAAATGGCCTGGGACCTTCAAAAGAAGGAGAAGCACAGTATTCTGTGGTGCACTGTACCGGCTATATCAAAGCCTGGCCACCTGCAGGTATTTCCAGCACTTTTCACTGCTGTTAATCTCTGCCATTGGCCAGTGATGATTGTTTTACCTTAATTAAAACAAATCTTTCTTGTCCATTTTTACCAGCAGTAAACTATTTGCTCAACAGACATCCTTATTACCTACAGAATATACAGTAATATAGAAATATGATTGAAAAAGGGGTAAGAATACAAATAAACCTTTGAGACCGAGAAAAGAATGAATGGGACCTGGAGGAGAGCAGTCTGGCGAAGAAGGAGAGGAGAGTTCATGAGAGTGTATAGGGTAGGACTGGAAATATACTGGGACAGAGAGGTTAAAACAAAGGCAGGGAAGAAGGCAAACTGAAGGGAAAAGGAGAGAATGGTCAGGAATGACGCACAGGATCTTGGCAGAACAGGAAAGGAAGAGAGTGGTAGTCAGGAGGAATACAGATGGAAGGGGAAGAGAGTACAAGGGCTCCTAGGATACATTACATATGTGATGACAAATGCTGGGTCAGTTTCCAGGTATGCGATCTCCAGCTAATGAATGCATCTCCATTAGAAAGTGTTACAAGCTTTGTTTAGACTTGTGCAACATTTCTTTTTGCTTTAGAGCATGAATAACAAAAAAGAAATAGCTTTGTGTGGGTGTCTTGGGCATTCGTTCAAGGAAGTAACAATTTCATGTGCATCTAAACAGATCCTATGGAAACTTTTGACATTTTACTATTGCTGACATTTTGTTTAGAGAAGAGCTCTATGTAATTTTCCACAGAAGCAATTTAATGTCCCCTCTGTCATGCCAGCAATGAGTGGATTTTGACACTTTTATCCAAAGCAATATTATAGAGGTTACTGTTGCCTATTTTTTACATACTAAGTTAACACAGTGGAGATTGCTGGAGCAGTCTGCTTCTGTTCTGAACAAGGTACTTGACCCTGTGTAACAAACCAACATTTTTACCCACAACCCGGTCAGAGGTTCCTGAGCCCAGATAAATTACAATGGGAGATGCATAACACTTATTTGTAAACTTCATCCCAGGAAACAGTTTTGAATGCCTATGTGCTATTGACCTGAAATGCAGACATGGATCCTGTTCAGAGTTCAAAATCATTGTTGCTGATCAAAATCTTTTACCCAGGGACAGGCAGTCACCCATAGCTGTAATCCATCTAAACCAGATCCTTAAAAGTATGTACAGGAAATAGTACATTAAGATTCTTTCATTTTGAATTTCATTTTCATTTGATGAACTTAAAGAGTGCCTTGTTGTAGTCTTCAATGAAATTTAATGGAAGTGGTGCAAGATGACATTAGTTTAAACAACGTAAAACAGTACATGAAAATAAACATACTGTACAAAGAGGCTATAATACAAGGAAAGAATGCATTAGTTGGTAAACAACTTCAACATTATTTAAAAAAAAAAATGTTTTGTACACCGTGGCAATTTTAGAATAGTATTGTCATGTGGTTTTCTCTATAGCCTAGTCCTTCCATCAGCATAAAATAGTAGGAACTGGGATTCATCAGACCAGGCACTGTTTTTCCAATTCGCCGGTGTCCAATGTTTTCGTTCCTTAGCCCACTGCAACAACAGTTTTTTTGCTGAAATAATTGTGCAATCTTTTATGGGTCTTTTGGCACCAACATTGTAATGAGCTGTCAGTTGACTAACTGTGGACCATCTGTTGATATGCACAATTCATGTCATCCTCTTTCATCAATGTGCCATATTTTATGGCTGGCTCACCATTGGCTGGAAGTCTTTTGGGTGGTGGATTATTCCAGATTCCAGGACCATTCCAGATACTCATGGCTCGCTGTTGAGCTTGAAAAACTCAGCAGCATTGCAGTTCTTGACACACTCAAACCAGCGCACCTGTTTGAAGACACTTACATCTTTATTTCTTGCCCATTCTCCCTCACATACAAAATCCATGTCTCAATTGTCTCAAGCCTTAAAAATGCTTCTTTCATTTGTCTCCTCTCGTTCATCTGTGCTGATTTAAGTGGAGTTAAGAGGTGAAATCCTTTAGGTATTATAGCTTTTACCCGGATTCACCTGGTCAGTCTATTTCAAGGAAAGAGCAGGCGTCCCAAATATTTTGTACACTTAGTGTACATCACATGTTCATTTTTCTTGTATCGCTTTATAACCTCAAGCTTTTCTTCTGGAGTAATAGCTTTCGTTTTCTTTTCACTTGTACTACACACACTGGCAGAATTAGTCATACCTTTGTCACTCAATGTAACTGCAATATTTCTATCAGTTTCCAAAGAATGAAAATATATAATAGCTGAGCACTGATATGCTACCTTCTTGACAAAGACTGATGCCACTGTTTGAGCGAATATGCCAGCATCCCACGTGTGTGTTGCTGCACTGAGGACTCTACCCATGTGACTAGTTCCTGAATACTTGAGTCATCTTATAGCCAGCATCCACTCCCATTATCAAAAAGGCTTTCCCTAATAAATCACTTGGTTTATGGCCAATTCTCATTTAAGGAAATGTGTTATATCAGAAAAGACTGTATTTGCTATTCATGTCAGTAATGTGATTACAAATCCAAATTGCTTGACTGCAAAGCAAAAATAATAGAAATAATTGATTTTGCTGTCCCAGTATTTTTGGACGACACTAGAATTCTTTATCACTGTTTTTTTTTAATCACGTTTAGCCATTTCTCACATGTTTTTGCAGACTGTTGAGTACATATGGCTTGTTTATTATTACATTTTTTAGACCTGCCTTTTACTGTATGTTTGGTACAGAAAAACATCTTTTGCAGCATTTGGCAGTGTTTACGTAATGCTGTCTTAGGCATCACATTAAACAAACTAAGCTTTTAAGTCATTGGTTTAATTAAAAGTGGACATTCTGAGGAGTGTACTCTGATAAATGTGTTGTTCTGTAAAAGCAAAACTATGTAAATGTGTCTGGTATAAAGACTTTTTTCTTTGTTTACACACTGCAGTTTAATCTGGAATATGTGCTTCTTTTGGAATTTGACTCACCAGTTATGCAAGTATACTTGAAGTCTCACGCTCTCAATCAGTCATAGTCAAAGGAGTCTTTTTTTCTTGTACATCCAGAACTCTGAAATTGTTAGCTGCATGTGATGACATGTTCTAAAAGGCTTTTCAGGTGGTTTCTATCTTTTAAACATATAATGTGTCAGGATGGATTTATTATGGTGTCTTGTGTAAGTGCTGTGATTGTTGAAGGGAACAGAGAGCTCCACAGAGTTAACCAACAGTCAGGGAACAAGTAAAGGTTTATTCCATGCTGAAAAGAAAAGGGACACAATGTTTTGGCTGTGGAGCCTTCTTCAAGTGGAAGATTTTAGTCTTTTTCAGCATGGAATAAACCTTTACTTGTTCCTTTGCAGCCTATGTATGGTGCCGCAGCTACACACTTGAACTTCTTCAACTCAGTCAGCTGAACTGAGCTGACTTTGGAGCAATTGACGAAGTATAAATATTTGTACCTCTGGTGTGTTTCTGTGTTTTAAAGAGTACAGTGCATCACTTAGCAAAACAATACTTTGGATTTCTTCCTATAAAAGCACGTGCTTATGTGCAGAACATAGTTTATTGATCATTTCCACAAAGTCATTTTCAGCTATTTTTCCTGGTGGGATTACTGTGTGCTTGCAATCTTGGTATAAAACATTTTTTACAGAGTTTGATTTTTATTATTCACTACCATAATCTGAATTTCTTTGATTCTTTGTATGAAAATAACAGGAAGGTGCTTTCTGGTAATTTAGTACATCGAAAGAAAATATTGTGGATTCTTCCAAGTTGTGTAAAATGTTTCTCTTAAATGTGTTTAGCTTGTATTGTCCAATAATGAATTGTTTAATCTTGAGTATTAACTGCTAATGTAATTGGAAGTCTTTTCAGAAACAGTGAAGTAATTGTAATCCTATGACTAGTTTTCAGAAAGAAGGCTGGTAGTATCTGAACTGAGTGACGCCATAGGGTACACAGAGCACAATCGTGCTTCCCAACAACATGATATTTTGAACTTACTAGAGCACCAAATTATCAGTGTTATCTAACATATTTAAATTTGTTTTATCATGAAGGTGATGCAATAATAATTCACTTAATTTCTTCATAAAGTCTATCCAATTCTATATCGGTCATTATCAGATTATTTTTCCCCAAATGCTTTTTTACAACCATTCAGATTCCAATTTCATGTAAAACAATAATTACAGTGAAGACGAGGGCGGGATCAAATTAACATGCTTTCTGATTTTTAGGGATGACTATTCCCGATGAGGATACAGAAGCTGGACAAACCAGTAAATACTGCCTTGTGGCGATTGGAAGGCTCCAGGTATGAGGGTATTCCATTGCCACAACAAAATCATTTGTAGAATACCCAATGACAGTAATATCTCATATAATAAGGCTATATGTCCTTTGAAGAAGTAGTGGAAATATGCATCATTCCTTGCAAAGTGTATTCAAGCCAGTTTTACATTGGCAAAGTATAATGGACTTATTTTCATTTCAGATGGTTTTAATACTTTGAGTTTTTGGTGTGCTACAGTATCTTACGTGGTAGAAGTAAAGATTATATATTAAAAATAATCTTTACACTTTCACAGTTATCTCAGGTTATTTTGTTAACTTTCAAATAATCAGCTTTTTTAAATTGAAAACAGTACCTTATCTGTGTCACAAGCCAGATCACTGTGCTGAGAAAATACGTATTACTGTAACAATCATATGTGGTCTATGAGAAAAACAATCTTAAATTCTCATGGTTCAGGTTCAAGTACTGTTAGATTTGTTCTTACATTTATGTTAAAGTCAGGGAAAACAGAACTATTGACTACGATTCCTTTAATACTTTCCTTGTCTTGTAAGTTGTAAAACAAAGCTGCACTAACAACTTACCTGGCTTGGAAGACGCAAGGACATGTATACAAGTGCATGGCCATCTAAAACATTTTTGAAACTATAAACTTATTCTGTGACTCCTCTGGTCCCAGGTTACCAGCTCTCCGGTATCAATGGACATGAATGGGCTCTCGGTGCCCACAGAGTTCCTGTCTCGTCACAGTTCTGATGGTATCATCACCTTTGTGGACCCACGCTGCATCAACGTCATTGGATATCAACCCCAGGTTAGCTCCTGTCCTGCTTGGTAGGCAGCTCACTTGGCTGCTTAGAACTGTTGTGTTTTTTTGCATTTTGTTTCCAGAGGATCAGGAAGTGTAGTGTTTTGTTTGTGTATTTCTTCAAAACAATGTTTAAAAGTGTGGGGTGTATAACAGGAAGTCTCATGATTTCTAAATCTGTTTGTCCTTTACCCTCTGGAGCTCAACAAAAGCTATCTGAGTCAGACACACAGTTGAGTTATGGTTTAATTTATCCTGTTTAATTCTCTGGGATGTGAAACATAAATCTTATCTGGACACATCAGTGCTTATTCATAAATTAGACTGTATATCCATGTCTTGTTAAAGGGGAACTGCAATGCTATTTTTATATTTTGGGGTTGAAAAGAATCAGCATTGATGAGTGCATTTCAAAACACAACAAGTAAAATGTACACTAACTTGTAAAAACCTCCCATTTACATCACAAAATAGATTAAATTTCCATTAGAACAAAACTTCTGATGATGTCAAGCAGCCCTGTTACATTGTAAAGAAGCAGGCTTGTGAATATGTCTCTTTTAATCTAATAGAAATATTGCTGTCGACTTTGAGAGTTCGGTTTTGCCAACAAATACGACATACTTGTTAACATTTCTGCAGTGAAACGTCTTCTGCCCAACCTGTACGTATTCACTCGTACATCACATTAATCAGTTATTACAGTGACTAGTGAATAGGAATGGGCGCTTCATGTCACAGTTCATGTGAACTGTTACTCTTGCTGGTGGCAAGACAAGGGAATTGCGACAACATGCAACTTACAGTACTTTCACCAACATCACAGTTTTGTGCTTAACTTGAAATTTGTAAAAAAAAATAACATCAAAAAATGTATTTTGTTACCAGGATTTAATGACTGGTCTCAGAAATTGGGACTGCAATTTCCCTTTAAAACACCATGATGGGTTTTTACCTTATTTGTGAAACCAACATCAGGATAAATAAAGTGATGGTCATGTAATACTAGCACCTTAAAAGTGGAGAACAATTAGTGGCAAGAGTCAAAATAGACAATATAGTTCAGTGTGCAAATGAAGGTGTGTGTAGTAATGGCTTGTTGAATACAAGTTAATGTGACCAAGATACAAGGAGCTAGTCTTCTATACTCAAGGCTGCTCAAAAACATTTGGCATTATCAATGCTAAGATGGTCACAAATGGACCTTTTTACATGTATGTGTTTTGAATACATAAGGGGATATAGTATTGTAGAAGCAAAGCTGCTTTTCAGTTTTGAGGGTTGTGTTGTTGTTTCAAAAAAACTGTTGTATATTTGAACAAGAGACTCGAGTTTCTACTGATTTTTGAATGGAAATTTCATTGGAAAATGGGAATAGCAATGGGGATTTTCTCCAAATATTCATTATTTCAATTAGAACATAGAGGTTACAAAGGAGTGGAGACTCTTCTGTCCGGCTTACTTGTTTGGTAATTAGTGGCCAATTGTTTCAGGGATCTCATCCAGCTGCTTCTTGTAAGAAGCCTAGTTATCAGCTTCAAAAACATGGCTGAATGGCCTGTTTCAAACTCCCACAACCCTCTGTCTAAAAACAAAAGTGGTGTTGTAGAACAGAAAGTTTTAAAATATTTTTTTTAGCACATACGGTTAGAATAATATGAACTTACAAGTGATGCATAAATATGTGACTCTGTTGTGTTGGGAAGCCTATCCACACTATAAAAGAGCCACAACTGACGGGAGGGAAAGAAAGAGTGGGAATAGTTCACCCATGAGTCTGCAGGACCATCTCTGACATCAAAATAGAAGCTTCACTAGATGTTAGGCACCAAATGGCTAACAGACTGTACAAAAAAAGTAACATAATTGTTGTGAAAACAAATAAAAATGCATGTAAAAGTGTCTTCTCAAGTCTTATGTAAATTATCAATAAAATGGCAAAGGGACAGATAATTAATAACAGATGGCTAGACTGTCATGGCAAGCACATCACTGGATGCTTCAGAAAAGTAGAAGCTTCTAGAAGTTCACACGGGAACTGCTTTAATTCCATAGGGCCTTGTTTTATTGTTTTGTCTGTGGAGCAAAGCCTTTGCCTTGAATCCCAAGTAGAAATGAAAAATGAAAGGTATATGCCAACAAAACCAATACGAAATATTTGATCAATAACAGAAAAATGGAATAAAACACTAAGCTTTTTCCATTGATAAATGTATATGGTGGTACCAGCAGTTAGTATGTGTTTTTTGTTACCATGCTGGTTAAAGCTAGTTCCAGTCACTACATTTTTTAATTCATTATTATTGTATACAGGTGAATTAAAAAGGGCATTGGGATGGTTTTGACTTCTGTGTGTACTTCTATTCTGTTCTGCAGTTTTAAAACTAAACCTCATGGAATCAGCTATCAAAACAGGAAACTTGTTGCTAACTTGCTGACGTGCAAAGTCTTTCAGACAACTAACAAAATTTGCAGTGCTTACTTTGGATATGTACAGTGTTCTTCGTCTGTTTTTATGAATATTTGCAATGGATGCAAAGGCAACTGCAGAAGTGCAGTGATTTTTTTAAAATGAATAATGCTATGTTTTATAGGGTACTGTATTTACTCTTGTGGCAAATCAGTTAGCTGTAGATGAGCCTGGTACCAGATAATTTACACTCATTCAGAGATTTAATTATTAACATACATCAAAATGAGTCTACTTGTGCTGAATAATAAAATAAGTCATACATTATTGTGTATTTTATTATACATTGCCTTGTGAAAGATTCACGGCCACTCAGTAGTGATCTGTTTTGTTGAATTACAAAAGATATGAATATGTTTGATCAAAGCTTGAATGCTCAATCTTATTCAAAAGAGCTTTAATTCTGTCAAAGCTGCTTCCACCAAGTAGTTACTTGAACACTGATATGACCAACCTGTTGATGCTGTATTTTAATTATTGATTATCCTTTATATTCTGACATTTTTCTTTCACCTGTAAGAGTATTCAGTTTAAATGTTCAAGCTTTGATTGAAATGTTCATTTTAATAAACAGTATAAACATCATTTGAAGGGCCTGAATACTTTTGTAAGGCAATATTTAAGAGATTATAAATGGTCATATAATATATTTTCATTCTTAAAGCACAATTTCTTTTAATGGCACTTAAAATTTGCAGGTTATTTTTCCCAACGTTTCAGTTTTTCAGGCTTTAGATTTGGGAAAAACTGCACTTCATTCAGTAACAGCCACAACTGCTTCCACATCTGTAAGTGCATCCAGCTCTGCTGGAGACTGGACTTAATTTCTAAGCTTACAGTCTTAGCATCTGTCAGACGTTTGATACTTTAGATCCTGTTTCTGTTAACTGCCTGTACATTTATGAATTGTGTGTATCCTTAGAACATGTTGTGTGTTTTTGAGCTTGCAGTTTTATTCCTTGGAAGCTGTCCAGGTATTGCAACTTGGGGTGGTAAAACTGCCTCTGGCATACTATGTCCTCCGAATATTACTTCGAGGGATTTTAAATTTATTTCCCTTATTAATACATTTCTGTGGTTTTTACTAGGATCTTCTGGGAAAAGATATCTTGGAGTTTTGCCATCCAGAGGATCAGAGCCACCTGAGGGAGAGTTTTCAACAGGTATATTTATTTCCCTCTACATAGTACATGTTAAAGCAGTAAAGAAGGTCAGAATACTAGTTCATGACTATAATTATTCTGTCAGTCCCAGTCTGCAATAAAACTTGAATTTGAACTTTATTGCCATATGTAACCGGTACATGTACTGGTACAATGGAATTCTTACTTACAGATAGTCTCTCGATTGTTAAAAGAAGTGTGAAAACACAAAGTGCAGACAGTGCATCAAGACAATATACAAACAAACAGTAGACAATGTACAAGTAAACAGTTTGAATGTAAACAATACAGACGTGTTGTCCACTATAGTCTTAACACCATTGTGATCCTAATCAACCAGGCATATTTCCAATTGATCATGTGCAGCTCTTTTAAAAGTGTTATAAAACATTGACAACTGTGACCCTTCAGCATCTTTAAAAATCAGTTGTTTTGTTTCTTTATGGTTTGTCCTAGTAATCAAATTTTAACTTTTTTAGTTTTGTCAGGAACTGCAAGATCAGTTCTCACCTAAGACTCTGTTCTGTGTTGAGCCACTATATTGTAAAATAAAAAGGGAATAACATCCCTTGAAGACGACATTGCCGCCTCTTCAGTCTGCCGTCAGAGCTCTTGCCCTTTTTCCTTTTTTGTGACACCTGGGGAAAGACTGTTGCAGTCATTTCCACTCTTCGTGAACACGGAGACACAGCCCGACCGGTTGTTTAGAGCTCCTAATAGGACTCTTGAGTATTGAGGTGACTGAGGTCCTGACTGGTTTCATTGTGCTCAGTCATTTTTTGCCCAATTGCAAAGCCCTGTGTTTGACTCATTATTTCCTTTCATATGAGATAACACCCTTTTGTACTGATTTCTGTGTAAAATGTGTTTCACAGAGGTGCACATTTGATTCATGAGAACCCCTGGGTCACAGAACAATTTTGACCTTTTCTATATTTTATTAAATTAATTATTTTTATTTTAGAATAGTTTTTTTTGTGTGTAAAACAGCATTGTTTTTTCCATGCTTTGTGAATGCTTTTGAATCTGATTACAGCCCAGTTCATATGCAGGAGTACAAAACATTCTGTTTTATATCTATAGAAGGATCAAAATATCATTTTACTAATATGCAGTTTACACAGGTTGCTTACTGTCTACTTTGGTTTATCGGCCCTTTTCATTTAAAGCATGTTGAACTCAATCTAGCCTACCCTCCTGGGAATGTGATTATTTCTGATCACACACTTTCAGATTACTAACACTTAACATACCTAGAAAGCATTCTCCTGGAGATAAATTCCTGGTTACTGCTTTATCCTTGCACGTTTCTGCTTATTGATGGCCACAGGAATGCACTGACAATGCATGTAATCTAAAATCTGCCATTCTTTTGAAATGTGACACACAAGCTAATGCACTTCAGGGCTGGACTGTACAACTAAAAACATGCTAGTACGTCTGTTTCTAAGAAAGAGCCAGTTAAAACCAGTCTCCTCTACCTGGGATAAGTGTAAATTGACAAAAGCAAGGCATTACATTACTCCATGCAAGCCTGTCAGTGAAGACTGCAGTATTCATATAACAGAGATTAAACTAAACTGGGATTAGTGTGTTTACGTGTGCAAGTTTTCACTGGCTGAACTTTAACCCTAGTGATGCTGGTACCCACTGGAGTGAACTGGAGCAGCTGGGGTATGGCACCTCACTCAAGGCATAACAGTAGTGTCTGCACCAGGGATTTGATACCACATAACTTGTCAGTTATCGGAACAGAGACTTACATGATCACTGTAACCTCTTTCTAATAGTTATTGTTATTGTCAAACCCTCCAAAACTTGCATGTCTTGGTGAACCACAGGCCAAAGCAGCAGGAAAATGAGGCAAGGCAGGGCTGCACTGTGGGCAGGGTGCTAGGCCATCGCAGGGCATTGGCACACATATGTAAAACGGGTCATTAAGAAACCGGGATGGAAGTGGAAGAAAACTTGCACACTAGGAGAAAACCCACATGGTGGAAATGTGTCCACAGGCTCCCCTGCTGGAATCGAACCCAGGACCCAAGACGTGCTTTACTTTATTATTACACCTGTTTTTTTTATGCAGACCTTCAGTGGTATTTCTTTTCCTTAGGTTGGGGGGTTTCAATGAAGTTTCCCCTCTAACGATATTACGTAAGGTGGCTGATGACCTCCGGTTGGATTTGCTGAGACAGTTGTTAACCTCCCCATCTGTTTAGGTTATCATTTCCAGTTTGATGCTTAAAGGAAGGGAGAAGCATTGAAATAATTGGTCTGTTTTATTGAAATTGCCCATCCTCTCAAGGGCTTTGCTTCCTGGGGACAATGTATTTAGTTGATAGGAGGGGAGAGCTGAATGACACAGATCCACAGAGTTTGCCAAGAATAACAATGTTAGTCCTATCTGCAATCCCAGAGAAAAGATTATCTTCTGCTCAATAGGAAGCTCATATTTGAACACTTGTCTATATATCATGTTTTTGTTTTAAGTTTAACGCGAGGGTGTGGTGGTCAACACTGTTGACAAAAGGATGTGTCTCTTTCAAATGGAGATCTGTGATTTTTCATGATTCAGTACAGCATTGAACCCTTGGAACTTCAAAAATAGGGTGACAAGATAAATGATGCAGTGAGTTCTGCACGAGATGTTCTCATAGTTGTGCTTGTTGGATTTTGCTGCACGTTTGACAGAATTCTTTTTATTATTAGTGTTTTTTTTCATATCTCTTGAGTGAGTCTGTTTTTTACTTGGTCAAACATTTCAAGTTAAATTTAGAAGAGGGGGGAATCTGCATTTGATTAACTGTAGAAGGAATGCTGTGGAAAGAATGTCCATGTAAAAAATGTCTAGTAATTAAGATAAGGTGTGCCAGACTGCTGCTGCTTCCCTGGTCGGCACGAACATTAGGGGCCCCATTAAATTACCCTGCCTTTCCAAGTCTTCCACCCCTGCCTTGTCTCCCGAGAGTTCACCCTGTCCATTTAATGATTAAATAACTGTAGAAGACGAGAAGAAATTCAATTTTTAAGTTTTGTATTAAAGTACAGTATATTTACTAAAGAACTTTGAGATGTATAATATAGACATTTTGCAATGTGTGTATTACAGAACAGACACTTAACATGTTTCTGTTCTCTTTTTAATTCCACCTTAAAGTCATTTTGTCACCCTTTTTTAAAACCAAATGTGCTTAATTGCCTGCATTGTAATTTTCCAGCCTAAAATGGTTTGTTATTCATTTTTAATTAATTATTGCTGCTGACTGCTGATTTTATATGTACATTTGTAACTCAGGGCAAGCCTGAAGTGTTTCAGTGTTGCTGATCTAACCTTCCGTATGTCACTGCTGAACAGCTGTCCCATTGTGGTGTTTTCATCCATCTCTCTCTCTTTCAGGTGGTGAAACTGAAAGGCCAGGTCCTCTCTGTGATGTACCGCTTTCGCACCAAGAACAGGGAATGGATGCTGATCAGAACCAGCAGCTTCACATTTCAGAACCCTTACTCGGACGAAATTGAATACATCATCTGCACCAATACTAATGTCAAGTACGTTTTCCATTTTCTGCCCATATCCTGCTTCCTGAACCCATAATTTCCTTTTGTACCATTTGGCAGGAGAAAAACATCAGACACCATTGACATGCATTCCCTTGTACACTCTAACTTGCAGTCTGGTAATGACACCCATAAACTTTTACATTATAAAACCAAAAATCTTGTTCTGCAGTTAGAAATGTTGAGAAAATGAATACATTGACAAAAATATGCTGTGCTAAAACATACACTGACAGTGAGTTCTTAAGCTATTTCTGTGTAGTATCCATCCAGTGTACAGGTAATACTGTAAACCTTTTAAACGATTTGTAAAGCATTGCTTTTAAAATGCAAGCACATTCCTTTTCTTGTAACAGTTTAAGAAATATTAATATATGCAAACTTGTGATTTGCATGTTGGTAAGTTTTGGGTATTAAGTCGTAGAAATGTTTGGCTGGAATTCTTTTCTTTTAACAGATCAGTTCTTGCTTAGGGGTTATTCACTTTTTCTTAGGTCCTCCTGGTATCAGAAAACTAATGGTAAAACTTTACTTATTTTTTAAATGACCTGCTTAGAAGAAATACTTCAACACAGGTGTTCTTTCAATTGTGGCATTCCTGAGCTGGAGATTGGAGATTTTCTGCCAGTAGGGGGCAACAGTGATTTAATTGCTCTTAGTGCTCTGATCTGACTTTGTGAGATTACAGGGAAGTAATCTTTAGGGAGGCTCATGCTCAAAATTACACAAAGTTCTGTTCCAAGAAATAGTGGGCCTTTCCAAATGTTGTGTTTTCCTCCAAAGGAAATGTCCTGATATTTCTAATTTGCAGTCTTCATTAAAAAAAAATCTGTATTCTACAACAGTATTTAAATAGTCAGGACTTGGGCTTTACATTCTTTCTCTTTCTGAGGTTCGCTGTTTTCAGTGTTATTTTATTAGGGCAGTTGAGAATACCTTTCTATATGGAAGTGATCTGACATTCCATGAAAATATGAAACTCCTGAAACCTGGTTTATGTCAAACATGTCCACTTTATTTGGGCGTATGGCTAAAATGCTTGGTGCACAGAGTATGCAGTGGTAAATCTTGTTAATTCAGAAAACATAAGGAAAAACATGCTCATTGGAAGACGGTGTAACAGTGTAACACTACAGGTTTTTACTAATTGACCTGGAGATAGAGTGCATAAACATGTACTGGTATCTGTCAGTGCTAATGACAATTTACAGTCACTTGCAATACGATGTAAATTCATCATCTTCTTTACACACTGCTGGGCTTCTCTAAGGCTCTTCTACGGTCTTTGGCTACTCTCTCCCACCTTGTTCCTGCAGACTTAATTCCCGCTTGGCATTCTACAGAATATCTTACGAGTGGATTTTTTCCCCTTTCTGTCCCATTCATTCCATTTCACTATTTCCTTGGTCAAGCTGTACTCTGTGTTTGGCACATTCACTTAAGTTTTGTTATTGTACATTTCCTTTCATTTCTAACTTGGAACCACACATTTAGGGAGCCACTATCTGGTTAAATGTGTGGTGCTGCCTTGCAGAAAGTTGATTCTGCCACATTTCTTCTTGTTGAGATGAAGCTGGGTGTTAAGTCTTCAGCCTTTGAGGAATGTAATTCACAGCTGGACAGAGTGGGAGAGAGGGCTGCATGTGGATTTTTAATCAGTGTGATGAGTTCCCAGCCTTGCAGAAAGAATTTTGACATTTGTGACCTTGAAGGAAAAAAAGCTTCTCAGAGTAATTTGCTAAAAGGAGTGTAAATTCCATATTTGCTGCCCAATAGATCCATCATAGGATAGAAAAGGTTGTTCATCTTTGTCCTGGATTTGCTAATGTAGTATCTGAACAGAAAGGAGGGGATGTTGAGTGAAATTATTACCAAAAAATTATTCTCACATTACAGTATACCCAGTCGATTCCCATAAATGGACTAAGTAAGTAAATCATTTCTCAAATATTTATTTTACCACATTTTGCAATAGTATCAAGTATTTCACCAAGGAAAAATAGATGTGTTTTTTTTTTAGCCATGTAAGAGTAGTTTCCTACTACTGTTTTCATTTAACGACTTTTCTGATCTTTTAGTGTCCAACTCTAAAATGTACAATTTTCAGGACAGCAAAGTGTATTTGTGGATTTGAAACATCCTTATTTTTTTGGCATTGCCTCTAGGAAAATGCACATAAACCTTCCACCTTTCTGTTCAAAGCTTGATGAGATGAATACTGAAGTGCTACTCACAAAGTGTGCTCAGCTGTGTATGACAAACTGATTTGCCGTTTTCACTTTTCAGAAATTAACTTAAATAGGGAGCTTTTCAGCATATCATGCAAATTCCAGACCCAATGGATTTGTGGACCTTTGAAGAAATATGCATATAAACCTCTTCCCTCATTTAAAATATGTTGTGCATTTCTATAGCTATCGTATGTGATTTCAGCATCACTTTAAAAAATCTATATACAATGTGTGAGTTGTCTTTCATTGATCTCACTTTAACAAAAGTTTTAAGTTAGTTATTTTTTTGCAGCATTGTTGTATGATTTGTGAATCTGTCACCCTCATATTTGAGGAAATGTAAATCAGAGCTGTATCAGCAGCTGTGTGAGCTACTAAGGAAAAAGCAAATGATTCCAAGCTGAAAAGTAACAATAAAAATGAAAAAACATTTCACCTCCTCTGGCACATCATACCTCTTCACTTACCTGAAGTCGTCATAGCTGAATTTGTTTTCTACTTTTCAGTGTGACATTAATCTCTGTTTTTACAGTATAATCTTAATCCTGTTTTCCTTAAACTGGCTTGTTGCAATGTTGTTGAGCCAATGGATTTTGAAAATGAAAGCATGTAATTTAAGAATTGTCCTTAAAGTCAAGTTCATTCAGTGCACAGCTAAAAATAGTCATTTGTGCATGACAGCTATTATTTAGCCTTGGCTTGTTTTAAATTGCAATCTTGAACCAAGCTATTAAAAGCAAAACGTCTGTCTTGGCCCAGTTATACAACTGACTCAAAAACATTCCTATAGAGCCTAGTAAACAAAATCTGAGTTGTTAACACATTGCCTCAGCCTCGAACATCTGGGTCTCATTTTCACACTTACCAGCATTGACTCTGGATTCTTTATATGTACAGCAGCCCCTTCTTTGTTCCTTATTTACTTTGATGATTATATTGAGGTAAAGCAGTCCTTTATGGTATTTTGTTTGTTACATTCTCACTGATCTTTAATTATTACATTAAAGATATACATTGTTCTGTAGAGAACAGGTGGGAATAAGAATAATTTATCCCATTTGCACGATCAGTTTTTGTCTCTTTAGAACATGTATTTTAGGACAGGAGACTTTCTTTTGTAGCTCTCATGTCGGTTTATATTTTAGGAATTTTTTAGCCTGGTAAGTACAGAAACTTAGATTTGTTTCAAATTTGATGTCCTTATTTTGAATACCAAATAATAATCCATCTTTTTCTGAAAGGCTTGGGAGACATTTGTTATTCATATCATTCCTGGTTCTAATCCCGATGACCTGTCTGCACTCATTCCAGCTGTCCTCTGGCAGAGTCACTAAGCACAGCGATAAATTCATGGTGTGCCTGTGTAGGTTTTGAACCTTTTTAGCAAGCATTTGACATAATGGGGTTTTAGAATAGTTTCTGCTGTTTGAAGCATTTTATTTTATGTGACAGTTTTCTTTGAAGTGGCCCTTGTAGCATTATTTATTTGACTGCCTTTTTTTATCCAGTGCTTTAAAGAGCCAACTAGAGGTCATGCTGCCATAGAATGTCGATATGTTCTTCAGCCATGAAAGTTCCCATCATCATCTGTTTCTTGTTGTGAATTTATTAGAGATTTTTAATTTTTTTTTTAAGATGTAAACATCTTTTACCCGTTCCATTTGCGGAAGAAACGCAGCCAGGGAATCCCTGTGTTTTCACGCTAGTTTACGGAAGAAGCCAGCTCCTGCAGGGGATGGTGAGAGTAGGTGCTGTTTGGGATGCCTCTCAGGCACGCAGGGGTCAGGATCCTAGCTCTACAGGACAGGAATGACATCTAAAGGGCTGCCCAGCCTTCCAGCAAACACTACATCTTTCTGAATCTAGAACCCTTCCTGTTTATGCCAAACTGGAAATTTGAACTAGAGATAAAATGAACTTTAAATGAAGTCACCGCATGCCTTTTTTGAGGTCATGTAAATAGGGAGTGATTAGAAGTTTTGTGAAACTAATTTTTAGCAGAACATTATCTCTAACATGCTTTTATTATGATATTTTTGGAACACTCTGGTCTTTCTTTGAATTAAATAAGAATGTTTACACTTTTATTATTATGTGCATAACGTGAATAGAAACCAGGCATTATTAAGGTTACAGGTAGCCGGAGGTCAGCTACTGAAGTGTTTTTACCGACTGTGTGTCTCCAGTCACTCCTGTCCGCTCTAAACCTGCCGTCTGCCTGCTCTGTGCTTGCAGGCAGCTCCAGCAGCAGCAGGCCGAGTTGGAAGTTCACCAGAGGGATGGTCTTCCCTCCTATGACTTGTCCCAGGTAAAAACTGAGCAGAGAAACGATACAAGAAGCCCTTGAGAAGAAAAGCTGTGTAGGTTTTTAAAGTACTTCATCCTTTCCAATGTCCTTCAGCAGGTGCCTGTTCCAAATGTCTCCAGTGGAGTTCACGAAACAGGAAAAGCAATTGACAAGACGGATACCATGTTCTCCCAGGACAGAGATCCGCGTTTTGCTGATATGTATGCAGGTATTTCAGGTAGCGTTCAATGCTTTATCTTTTTGCCACAGTGCTTGCAGGGAGGTGAAACAGACTGGTTCTTTTATCTCACTTTATACATGTTTGTCATGCCTTTTTTGGGGAAAATTAGTCCCACTTTCGTAGTGCATTGAAAGTCAAATCTATTTTATTTACTTTTCCTGCAGTTTTAAGCATTATTTTCTTTTAAGATAATTTTTCAGAAATTGTGAAAAAGATCGAACATCAGCTAGATTGTTGAAAAAATAACGTTGTCTGTTCAGTTGGGTGTTGAATTGAAACGGTTTTTTTAATAGCTGACAAAAAAATGATGGCTTCTTCCTCGGCGGTGAGCGGCCAGCAGCTCTACTCTCAGGGAAGCCCATTTCAGCCAGGGCACTCTGGGAAAAGTTTCAGGTATGGCAGCTCAACTGTAAAACAACACACTTTGATGCCCTTATGTTCTTGCGTAAAATTATAGTTTCCCCACTGAATGAGCAGAATTGTATTCTAGGCCCCTATTAATACTTTTTTTATTATATGAAGATATCCTAAAGTATATAATTGGGTTATTAGGTTATTTCATCAGTCAAGATGGGAAACTGTTGGATGTATCCTTGAACTGAATAAGCTGAAAGCATAGCATGCTTGTTTTAACTCGGATAACTGCCAGGTTCTTGTGTCCTGTCAGTGACTTCTACTTTGCTGTTTCAGCTCCTCTGTGATCCATGTTCCGGGAGTCAATGACATTCAGCCCTCATCCTCTGCAGGACAGAACCTGGCCCAGATTTCTCGGCAGATAAACCCTGGGCAGGTTGCCTGGACAGGCAGTCGCCCTCCATTTTCTGGTCAGGTAAATGCCTATGCTTTCTGGCTACAGTCACTCTCTGCTGTTTTACCAGCTCCCCAGAGCTTCTGTTCTTAATTTCTCCAATTCCAGCAAAATTCATGCTTCAATTATGTTTTTTTTATGTGACTCTGGATAACATTGTTCTCCTTTTTTCCATTGTAAATTGCTTCAATATTTTTCTACTTGGTACAATCAAATGAACCTTTGTTACTGGCTATGATCATAAGCACCTTTCTCACGTCAAGGATGTTTTTTAGTTTTTCTGTAATTGCAAGAGATATTGATGTGCTGCTTTTAAAAACACTGATACAAGTTAGTCTAACCTTTCCTACAGATTATAAAATGCACCTTATAGATTATCTATATAGGTCCCTTTTTTCTGATTCTTTTCTGTCAGATCTTGCTGCTTGCTGTGGTGTAAGCAGCAGTCTGTTTTCATAAAATGACCCCACATGCTGGGTGAGACAGCTGAGAGAACCAGGGGAAGAGCAAGCAGCCTGCAGAGAGGGAAGCTGAGTAGACAGCGTGCCCATAGACAGGCTAAGCAGGCAGCAGTGTGGTCCTGTAGTATGCTGGAGAAATAGGCAGAGTGAAGAGCAGGAAAACAGTCCAGAGTTTGTGGTCAGAAACTAGTAAGGATCAAATCAGGGAGACTTGTAGTGTAGCATAAAGGGAATGTGCAGAAGATGATCCAAACAAGCCAGGGCCCAAGCCAAGATAAACACCAGCAGAGGGGGTGATCCGGCAGACATGGTAGAAAGGTTGAACATCCAAACAGGCATAACTAGGAAACAAAGCTCAAGACTTAGTTCGGACTCTGAGCTTCCTTAATAACAGTCCTGAGCAGTGTCAGAGCAGACTTTAAATACTCTGCACTACCTGATGCAGGCTTGAATGCAAAATTGCCAACAGGTGATACAGATTTCCTGTAATGCCACAGTAATCGGCACTGAGTGACAGGTGAGTGGATGTGTGGTCGGGTACTATGGCCAACTCCACAACTCCACATAACTCCACTATGGCCAACGCTAGCTCGCTTCACAGGTTTGCAATTGAGGTGAGCCTGACACTTGCCTGTGAATGTTTTGTATATTCAAAGAGTTCTACATACTCTGTGGGGTTTTACCAGCTATCTTCTTGTGTCATTGTAGCAAATTCCAGCCCAGTCCGGGAAGGCGCAGTCTTCTCCTTTCGGGATTGGCTCAGGCCACAACTACCCAGCTGACCCGTCTTCTTACAGCCCCCTCTCCAGCCCTGCCACGTCCTCTCCTAGTGGAAATGCCTACTCCGGACTGGCCAACCGCAGCACAGCTTTTGGTAAGATGCATCAGGGTTAAGCAAGGTGGGGTTTTGGGAAGTGTGTTTGGTTGTTTTAAGAAATTTGTTGAACCTAAGATGAAATGAACCTAATCAATATTTAAGAAATGTGCACAATAACTGCTTTGTTAGATTTGCATGCCAGAGAATATATGGTTGACATCCTTGATCACCTGCCTTCAGTTTCATATTGTCTTTGTATCCAGTGATGATAGATCACACAGACTGGCAATTATGCCACTTGACAGTTCAACAGATCATAGTTTTGAAATTAATTTCTGGAGTATTTTTGTCCTGCACTGTCTGAGTCATCGACCAGTGATGGGCTATAATTATTTTCGGTAGATCACACTTACTAATTAAAAAATCTAGTCTTTATAGCATTTTAGTAAAGCTTAAGGTAAAGCATTGCCCTTTGAGGTGGATGTGACTAGTAAAAAAGTAGATTTAAAAATGCTAGTTTAATTTTCAAAATGCTTCCTAAATGTTTGTTTTGTGGTTGATACAGACCTGAAACTGAAAGCAGCATGTAATTAATCTTAGAAAGTAACTATGAAACAAACAAATATTTATTTTTCATGGTGGAACGTTTTGTTGCAAGATGAAAAGGATTCTTTCTTGCAGAAATATTTGAATTGTGCTGTGAATGTAGTATCAGTACCAAGCCATTTTGAGAACAGAATGGATTTGTGTTCAGCTTTACTGGAACTATGATTTATTTATTTTCCAAAAAGATTACAGTAACAAGATTCCATTCTTATTAGGACAACACCAAACATAAGAACTAATGTGACTTTTTAAACCCAGAAGAATATTACCAGCTGGTGAGGAAATTTAAATATACATTTCTATGGTCAGTTTTCTTATTAAAAATACCCTATAATAAAATAATTCATTCTTGTCATCAATTGTCAATCATTTAGTGCTTGATTAAAAGAAATTTGTAACAATCATTATTTTCTAGTGAGTCTTTGCCAGGATGTTTTCCCCCAAAATTGTCTTAAGTTGTCAAAAACCTTTTTTAGCATTCATTTATAGCAGATTTAAATACTGCTGTTTCTTTGAGTTTGTCCGGTGGAAAAAATTACTGACCACAACCGTTTCTTTAGTGTTTCTCCTGGAAATGTCCCAAATCGTAGACTTCATCTGCAAGAAAAGTGTAAAGCCTAAACTGTAACTCAATTTTAAGAAGATAAAATTCAGAAAAGGTCATCTATTTATCTATATCAATGTCTAGCTTGGTTAAGCAGATGACAGATCATATAATTTTTACTTTTGCTTGGGGAAAAAAGCAAGCATTCCATGTAAAATGAGCAAGAAAATTAGTATTGGCTCTTGTTTCGTCCACTTAGCTTACTGAAAAGAAGAAGGAATGTGGTTGCTACAAATTGTTACAGCTTTGAGAAAGTTCTCTCTACTTTTAAATAGCAATCCACCAGTCAATCAGAAAATAAGCTAACATGCTGTTAAACCTATATACTGTACATATACATAGTTTGGACATTTGGACATTAAGGTGTAGTTCAAGCATTTTAAATAGTCCGCCAAGTTTTATATACTGTACATATAACATAGAGGATTAAAAAAGTGACCTCTGATCTAGGTCATTATGGTTTACTGGAATTCTATTTTTTCTGACATTTTTACCTTTGTGATAAAGAAGGATAGATCAAGACATCTTCAGTCTACGGGGAAAAAAAACAGTAAGTTTGTGTAAATTATACCAAAAAGTAGAACTGGACTGGGAGGGATTGAAATCTTGAAGATGTTGCTTCGGTGACGTGAGAGGAGAATGTTTAGCAAAGCAAAATGAAAATGGGCAAAGATCCGAAGACTACAGAAGGGTCTTGGGAAAGCAAGACTGTTGAAGATGATATCATAATCCTGAACCTGTTACATCCTGTTCTCCTTTTTCCCACAGGTTCAATGTTTGTTTTGAGCGACAAATAACCTCTTTTGGTTTTAAAGTGTATGAAGTGAAATGCAAGACAAATCCAATTAATATGTACATACATATGTACTCTTTGAATTGAAGTTCTTTTCTTGATTTTAATAAATCCCAATGTCAGTTTCAGAAAAATTGCATTGGGCTTATATCATGTGAACCACGACTAGAGAACTGAAAGGGTAGGCATGGGGTTACTAAACCATTTTTACTCCTCTATTAAAAACATTCCTCTACAGAGACTCCATTTTATTATTTTTCTGAGAAATTGGATATACAGAGCATTATTTTATGCGTATGCATATTTGTTTTATAAAATAAAGTATATATTTTTAGAACTTTGTTTTTGGTATCAATTTGATTAGTTGATCATGGCTGACTGCGACATGGTCTAGTAACTTTTGATGTATAATGATTTAATGATGATCTCATTATTGGGTTTTGTTTAAGGATAGCATAGAAAAAAACTGGTGTCCAGAAAGAACATTACTTCCCATCTGAGGTTTGCTGAAAAGTACATAGATAATTCACAAGGCTTTTGGAACATTGTTCTCTGGACAGATGAGTCAAGGGTAGAACTTTTTTTGGCCTCAGTGAGAATCCTTACATTTGGCAAAAAACAAATATTGCTTTTGAACAGAAGAACCTGGTCTCGGTAATCAAGCATGATGTTGAGAATATGGTAGTTTGGGGCTGCTTTGCTGACTCAGGAGCTGGATGTATTGCCATCGTTGACACAACCATGAATTCTGCATTGTATTATAGAGGAGAGCCTAAAGCTTTCAGTATGGTGTATGTGTGGCGTGACAAAGTGATTCTGCAAACACGCAATGGATCTACAAGACATCTGACATCTTTATTGCAGGGTCACACAGAACCCTTTTATGTTAAATACTGCCTGTTCTTTAAAGAGTGATAGGAAGGTAATTTTGTACCAGCTGTAATCATCCTCAAAACTTTACACACTTTAACTGCTCTTAGAAAGCCTTACAAGGAGATTTCAATATACAGTTGTGTCTGGTTTGCTTTTCTCTCTGATACATTTGGAAAACAATGTGAAGGCAAATAGAGGGTGTCTGTTAAATGATCTGAATTCCGAACCATCTCACCCTTACTACCTGCGTGATGCACATCAGTCCCCTCTGCACTTGAGGTACACACTTGCACAAATATTCAGAATTCATATTTGTATCAAATTAAGACATTCTGAAGCATATATTTGAATCTGTTGGGTAAATTGGTCATAGCACATTAATCAGTGTACAGTGTGCTTTTAAGGTTAACAGCCCACTTCTGCCCAAGTAATACATCTTCTTGTCAGCAATATTGTGGTATGTGCACATTTAGCCACCTCTGCTATAGGGTTCAGTGATTTTGCTGTTGTTGGAAGCTGGATTTGGTTAGGTCATTATGTTCTGGAGATGTTGGAATACCCACTGTTTGGTGTAATTAGGATTTTGGAATAACTGTTGATTTGTGTAGGTGTATCTCTGAAGACCCCATCATTCAGATTTGTTTATTTGTGAGTATGATGTTCTCTTTCACATATTTGCGTAGGATGAGAAGGAGCATACGCTGATGAATATTTCATGAATGTGACAATTCTTCATGAAGCATAAAAAAGAAATAAATTGGCCTCCTGCTGTCCCAATCATGTGAATTGAAAGGGTCATAATCAATTAAAAGCGCTTGTGCAAAACCTCATTAGCCTTAAATAAAATAATTACGAAGAGTCATTTACAGATCTGACATCTTAGAATAACAATCCTTCCAAATGTGTTCTTTGTTTTTGGTTTTAATTTAGAGCTGCGTAGGCCTTGGAGATGATCTTACATGCTTGCAAATACACCAATTTATTCTAAATGTGATGGAGCTATATCATAGTTTACTACAGTGTGAACATGCAATTCCAGCTAAAGCTGGCAACATTCCCTTTTCAGGAAGTGCCCTCTTCTCATAATGACAAGGCCAGGAAATGGAGTTTCGTAATGAATGACCTCACAGCGTTCCACCCAGGGGAACATCGTTATGAGTCCATGGCCAAGATCTTTTCCTACTGTACGTCCTCACAGAAAATTTCCAGGAAGTGAAGATTGTTCTCCATAGTTTCTCACGTCTGTCGACACCATTTTTTTCACCTTCCAAGAGAATGTACCCTGTAGTGCACACAAAAAAATAAAAAACACTTCTGTAATATTGTTGAAGACATCCTACCGAGCGGACATATTTTAATACAGCATAATGAATGTTTTTAATTTATTTCAGGTATTTAAGGAAGTATATTAAATATTATCCTTTAAAAAAGCTGTATAGTGCTTGTCTGTATCAGTCTTATTTATTCTGAACAAGATTAGTAAAGTGCGTTTTCCCTATGGCAAGCATGTACTTATATCTCCAAATTCTTATACTGATGTTGCAGCTGAGGGGACACAGAGTGGAGGGCAGTTCCAGGGCAGACCCTCAGAGGTGTGGTCCCAGTGGCAAAGTCAGCACCACAGCCAGCAGGGCAGCGAGCAGCACTCACACCCTCAGCCCAGCCAGACTGAAGTGTTCCAGGTGAGAGAGTGTTCTGTTCAGTCACCAGAGCTTAATGTGCAGCTGAGCTTTGTTCCCCAGCCTTGTAGTTAGTGTGAGCCTAATATGTACAAACATAATTTGGATGAACTGCACTCAGACTGGTGCCGAAGTCTCCAATACCAAACTGGTTGGGTGTTCAGTGATTTCTTTGGAAAAGAACTGTATTCTCATAATCCATCATACAGGCAATTCTCCTTAATCGTTTAATGTTTAAGATGCACAAGCAAAAAAAAAAAAACCAAATGTGAAAGTTGGATGTGGATTTGGTTTAAATCTGAAAGTGTTAGGAGTCATTGCAGTGATTTTGATGGTTATTTAATCCTCAGACCTGAGGTACAGTGCGTGGTACGGCTCTAGCTGTGAAAGCCAGAGCCAGCAGAAATCCCTCATTGCGGATGTGTTGGGTGCATGATTTTATCACATTTTTAAGAAAGTGTGGAGGGTTGTGAAAATGACTGATATTGAGTAATGTGCACCCCTGTTAGATGAAGACATTGTGGAAAATCTAGTCTGGCAAATTTCATGCAAAATAGACCAGAAAGGCTTCCAGTACTGGAAGTGCCAAACTAAGAGGATGTTAATACAAGCGCAACAGGAACATCTCTTATGTAAACTTCAATAGGTAGTTTCCACCGGCATTAAGAGATTTGTCTTTCCTGTGTTGCAGGACATGTTGCCAATGGCCGGGGATCCAACCCAGGGCACAGCCAATTACAATATTGAAGATTTTGCTGACCTGGGCATGTTCCCTCCTTTTTCTGAGTAATGGAGTGAAAACAAAAGAGGATGCAAGAAAATAAACTCTTGAACATATTTTGATTTTCATTTGTTTTAGCTTTTAAGTCCAACTGAGGCCTACAGTGCGCAGAAGTGTTCATTGTACATGAGCATGAACTTCCGGACATTTTAACATGTTTTTTCATCACATTGTTTCCTTTGACTGAATAGTAATAATCTCCTCACCACAAATCATACTCTGATTGCATTGTTAACCAGGACATTTTCATTGTACAACTTCCAGTAGTGTGCAGTCTGTACGGTCTTTAATGTGGTCTTTAAAGTAAATATTTATTATACAGTATTATTGACACTTGGGGTGTCTTCAGTCGTATTTTTCATGCACTCCTCTGTTTCACAACTGTGCCAAACTGTAAAGGGCATTTAGAATATGCAGATACACATTGCTGCTAACCAGCTTTACATTCAAATCATCTGTGTACAGGTATTGTAGCTCTAAATATCTATAATGAATTAATGAATAATTTGAATCTAAAGATTCTGGGCCCTACATTTAAGTGCTTTGTCTTCCTCTTAGGAAGCTATGGAAATTTAAGCACCTCAGTGTTTTGAATATTGCCCCCCTCCATGTTTTAAAAGTATAATGTCTCAAATTTAAGTTTTGCTAAAACATTTTGAAAGATGAAGGACTGTAGTCACTTGCAAACAGAAGCTGAAAGTGCACTTCATACTGCTAACAGCACCAGCCACAGCCTTTCAACAGTGCAGTCTAGTTTCCTGCAGTGAAGGGCTGTTGGAAAGCTGGCTCTAAAATGGACCTTGCTATTGTTGCATCTTTTCAGCTGTTTGACTTGTATAGTAATTTGTAGTTGCCATATTTTACATTGAAAGATTATATAATGTGTAACAGCGATGTCTTTTATACTTCAGTGCTTAACACTAAATCAAGTAGGTGTTTTTTTCTTTTGTAAATAATGTGACTTGAGAAAATGTGATTTTGTCATTCGCACACTACATTTGTGAAGGATTAATATTCATGAGAGTGTACAATGTGAGTAAATATTTAACTATTAGCGTAGTCTGTTTATTGTAAATTTAGTTTAGTCTTGTAAAAATTGTGCAAATGTGAGTCATTATTTTTGTTTAACTTTATAAACATGATGTGCTTGTGCCAATAAATTCTTACTGTTACAAATGCCTTTCAGTTTGTTAAATTCAACACACTGCTGTTTGTACAGTGACATGGTCCAAATAGGAACATTGAAAGATGCCAGGTAGGATGCTTAATGATTCATTTGATTGTGGCTTAGTGCCCTCCTGTTTCTTTTAGGCAACCAGTGAGGGCAAGTGGAGACTATCACTAATGGTGATTGGGGATCCTTTGGGGGTCAGGCATTGAGAGTGCATCTTTGTATGACCTGTATCTCTCTTGCATGTGTGTGAAGCAGCTGTAAGGGAAAAATGGGATGAAACAACTACCTCTGTCCTCCCTGAAGTCCCAGTACAGTCACTGGTGCTATGGTGCCACAGCATGAAAGTGAAGCAGATATCCTGAAAAGCGCACGCTTCAGACAATTGCTGTACTGTACATAGCGCCCGGAGAAGGCTCCACAGCCGAAACATTTCTTTCAATTTCTTTTCAGCATGGAATAAATCTTGCTCCGTAGCTGTACGTGTGTGCCTCCATGAAAGTTGCTGCTGTGACCCAAATCCATGAAGCACTGGCAGTTGCAAAGTATCAAAAATAAAAAGGAAAAAATAATTTTGAATTTTGAAAGAAAAAAGCACAAAAGAACCAGAATGTGGACTGAAGAATGTATTTCTTATGTGAATATTTTTTACATTATTTTGTCTTTTAAATTAAACTTTAAAAGGTGGTAAGTTTGAAATATTAGGGATTTTTTTTGTTGAAGAAAAGTGTTACATGTGCCAGTCAATCATATTTGCGTGACCATATTTTATAGCAGTCCGCTACAGTGCTCTCCCAGGAGGAAATGGAGGGTGGAGGCCGACTTGCTGAGCGGGCAGTGTTCTTCCCACAGGACTGTGCAGAAAGTGGATGGCTTCACTTCCTCTGAGAGATTAGGAACGTATGTCATTCTTTCTGTCCCAAATGTGCTTTTTCCCAAGTGCAAATGGGTTATAAAACTGAAATGCTTTCTTACTGGGATTATTCACAGTGTTGTTTAATCTTGATACAGCAAATAAAATTCCATCCAAAACAGAATGCCATCTAGCATTGAGAACACTTCTGATGACATTAAAATCTCAATTGCAACTTACAATATATCACTGGTGCTTGTGAATATTGACAGTCTGTGATATCTATTCTAGTGTTTCTACTGCTGTCATTTTAAAGTGCCATAGTTACATAGTTTAAAACAAATCTGCAACCTGTCTATTGTGTTCAAGTTCAGGTGAGGTCTTGCAGGTAGACTTTTCTACCAAAAGTCAATTTGATTTATTCTGTCTGATACTGGCATTGATGATCTCTGTAAAATCATGTTACTTCAGTTGAATCAGAAAACCACACTTCCAGACTAGTAACAAATATACAAGAAAATAAATCAGCCTTCAATATACTGTTACATTTTTTTCTCTCATTGATGAGTATTGTATACCTGAAGGGCTTCTCTCTGACAGCAGATGTTGGAGATGAGCTGAGATGTGTGCTTTTCTCGGTCTTGTCATAGACACCAGCACAATTTAAGTGGAATGTTTTGCTTAAGTGTGCAAGTTTGAATCCGAAGCACATTCTTATAATTCCAGGTCATATTTTTTATTTATTTTATTTATTTTTTTCTGTATTTTGGCAGCAGTGTGTTGCAGTGTCAGGGTTCAGGCCTTATAACTGGAAGATCATGGGTTCAAATGCCAGGTGAGATACTGCTCTTGTACCCTTAAGCAAGGTACTTCACCTGAAGTGTTCTGGTAAAATGTATAAATACAGTAGGTACAAATGTCAGTTCCTTTGGGTAAAATCATAGACCAAATAAAACTAGGTGTTAGTGCTGAGCTTAAATTATTCTGCAGAATCTCTTTAAATTCTGTTTCTTTGATGAGCTGCCATACATAAGCCTGATGAGAGGGTTATTTACCCTGGGAGGTAAAGAATGGAGGAATACATATGAATAAAGTCTAATCCAGTAACTTTCCCACCAAAAAGCAAGACAAAAATGGGCAAAGAAAGAGAATTTGACACTCTTTTATGATTTGTTTTGTAACCAAGCAAATTTATTGCTTCTATAAGATGGGAAGCCAGATTAGCGGTCATTGCTTTTAATAACATTGCATCTGGGCCAAATCATGTCTGGCCAGGTATTAGGTTCATAGCTCTCTGCTTGTCTGAAAGCTGTTTTCCCAGTCTATGCTAATGGACCACAAGTAAGTGTATAAGTACTGTTCCAAATGAAACCGGACGTCCAGCAGTTAGTGGCTATTTGATACAAGGATCTCAGCAAGTTGTTTCTTGAACTCGCCCCAGCAACTTGCACAAAGAAGTAAATCTTCTCAACAAGTGGTCCACTTCTTGTTTGTTCTCAGAACCATCTCAGTCTGATTAGTTTCTGTTTAATGTTTCTGTTTCTGTTTAATGAACAAGTGACCACCCAACTAGTAGGTTAAGGATCTGCAATGGGATGGTGTTGGAAGTCAGACATACAGTATTGTCAACAACAAGCAAAGTGTTTTTAGTGCAGAAACAGCAAATTCTGAACTAGGTTGGAAGATGGGTTTTAGTTATATATTTTCCAGTTTCAGAGGTTCTTTTTCCTGTTTGTGTACTTCAAACAAAACTACAAAGAAAGAATGTAATAGCTGACCCTGATAAGGTATAAATATACATTCCGTGAAATCCCAGGTACTATAAATAACAGCTTAGTGTGCTTTTTTAATTCCCAAACCATACGTCTCTCTCTTTTGTAGAATTCCCTTTTGCTGTATCCTAGGATTCTCAAAACAGTAATTCAGCTTAGATCTGCTGTTCTCTCAGGATCTGAGACATCTGAAGTTAATAAGAGACCAGTCATTGTTAATACAGCCAAAAACTTTAGTTTGTTACACTTAGCATACATGCGTGATTGTGCACTCATTTGTAAAATTCTCATTGCTTTTTCTTGCATTAACAGTATTAGACAAGCCAACTTGAAAGGTTGAAGCAACAGAAACCATGTTTATCATTAGAGATGAATAGCTATAGGCAAGAGGTTTTTTTCTGCAATCCTTGTACGAATGGTATACTGTTTGTTGCATTTTTGGGGAGATTCACTCTGGACTGTAATAGTTGGCTTGCTAAGCTTCTCTCAGTACTGGTAAAATCAAACCTTGTTTTTTGAAAGATCCTTGGCTTTCATTTTGCTTTGCCTCAAGGTTAGTTACAGTATGAAAGAATAAAAGGCCTTTCCTTGTAGTAGCTGCTTTTTTGTCTGTGATGTTTGTTTTTGTTATTGAATTAGGTACGATTTTCCACAACATATCTCCTGGGTAAAGCATTAACTTCAAAAACCTTTAAATTTTAATGCCATAAGAGGTATTCTCAGTAAACTGAATTTCTGGTGCTTATTTCATTGTTCACAATGCACAGTATTTACAACCGAAAAACACTGGTTTTTGTCCAAGGGCTCTCTGCTGAATGAGAGACGAGATAATGATCACGGCCAGGACTGCATTTGCAATATTAAAGTAAAACCCATAAAATGAAGAATCATTCTGTTGGCAGTGTTAGGAAATCTAAAAAAGTCCTTTTTTTCTTTATCTGCCAAACCAAAATTGTTTCTCTTTGTTTGATCTTTTGTAGGATGTTCAAAAACTCTTGTTTTACTGTTACACTTAAGTTATTACCTCTAGCACTTTGATACTGCAGTGCCTGAGACTTGTTTAAATCTTTCCTATCAGGGAATGAGCCTCCAAAATGTTCCAGGATTTTCCCAGGAGCATAGGTTATTATCATTGAGTTTCTTGGCAATTGTTACATGTGGCATTTGTTCACATCTACCCAGGATACATGTTTGTAAGTTAAAAAATTATTGTTTGTCTTCTTGTTAGTTCACTATGCAGGAACATTATCTTAGATATGATCTGTATGCTGTAGAGCTGGATATTGTGAGTGTACTCCTTTTATCTGTGTCAAGATTGTCCTCTGGAGTATTGAGCTAGTTTAGCAAAATGTTTTTGTGTTAAATAAAGACATAACTGACATATGGCTAAATGGAAATGGTTAGGAAGTATGACTCAAGTTAAATGTATAAAAGCAACATGTTCCAGGAGTCACTTTTTCCTTTTATTACTTTTTTAGCACAGAGAAGGGTCAGATTTATTAATATTCAGAAACAAAATGCAGACAGAAATCTGGGTAGAAACATAAAACATGATTTTTTTCTTTATGGGGTTAGTTCTGACATACAAATTTTGATGGGCTTTTCTGGACATTCCATTTAAAGCGCTTTACAGGTAATGGCGCCTCCCCTCTATCACCACCAATGTGCAGCCCCACCTGGATGCAGCCATAGTGCACCAGTACACTCACCACACACCAGCTATCATTGTGGAGGAGAACAGAGTGATGCAGTCAATTCATAGATGGAGATTATTAGGAGGCCATAACGGTTGGTAAAGGCCAATAGGAAATATGGCCAGGATGCCGGGGTAATACCCCTACTATTTTCTAAAAACACCCTGGGATTTTTAATGACTACAGAGAGTCAGGACCTCAGTTTTACATCTCATCTGAACGATGGTGCCTTTTTACAGTGTGTCCCCGTCACTAGTCCTAGTCCTGGTGGCACTGTGGCTAAAGATCTGCGCCTGTGGCTGGAAGGCTGCCAGTTCAAATCCCACGGCTGGCAGAGGAATCTAACTCTGTTGGGTCTCTGAACAAGGCCCTTGACCCCAGGAGCTCTGTATAAATGGCTGACCCTGCGCTCTGACCCCAAGTTTCTCTCCCTGTCTGTGTGTCTCCTCGTCTCATGGAGAGCAAGCTGGGGTATGTGAAAAGACAAATTCCTAATGCAAGAAATTGTATATGGCCAATAAAGTGATCTGATCTTATCACTATACTGGGGCATAGGACCCACACAGAACGCAGGGTGAGTGCCCCCTACTGGCCACACTAACACTTCTTCCAGCAGCAACCTTAGTTTTTCCCAGGAGGTCTCCCATGCAGGTACTGACCAGGTTCACACCTGCTTAGCTTCAGTGGG